TACCTTTTCTCCTCTTCCAGCTGGTTAAGCAGCTCCACCTTTTCCTTCTGCGCCCCGTCTACTAGGGTCCGTGCTCGCTGGAGATTCGCCTCCGCCTCGGCGACGTACTGTAACAGAGAGCCAGTCACGTTTGCACACACGCTCACTAAACACGGGACAGGGGACCGACCTGGACAGCGCAGGAGGTTGGTAAGTGACCTTTGTAGAGGCTTTCATCTCTAGGGAGCAGGTTTTCCAGGGAGCACAGCACATAGGAGTCCCAAGAGGTCCGTGCTCGCTGGAGATTCGCCTCCGCCTCGGCGACGTACTGTAACAGAGAGCCAGTCACGTTTGCACACACGCTCACTAAACACGGGACAGGGGACCGACCTGGACAGCGCAGGAGGTTGGTAAGTGACCTTTGTAGAGGCTTTCATCTCTAGGGAGCAGGTTTTCCAGGGAGCACAGCACATAGGAGTCCCAAGAGGAGTGTACTCCAGATATCCACTCTGAACATGCGACATCTGGCCCAGGGCATTTTTGAAACCCTGGTCCTAGGTCACCAGATCAAACCCAGCCCCGGCCAGCAGGCTGGGGGAACAATTTGGAGTGCACAAGTTATCCGACGCCCTTTTTCTAGCTACTCACAAAGAGACAGAATGTTATGAATCAATTTGCTACTGGCAACGGTTTGATGAACTCTTTAGACAATTTAAGGTGTATGAGAGTCTGCAAGCTTCTTCTAGGTCTCTGGCTGGCATGTGATTGGACACGTATGGCACATGGTACTGTTTCTGCTTCCAGAGTGGACAACGGAATTGGAGTAAATCAGAATAGTCAGTAGCCATGCGAGAGTAAACACCCCTACCCAGATGGAGCTAAGAAATGTTGAATTTACAGCCATTCCCGTATACAGTTTAATGTGAACAAAACTCCACTGGCACAAACGCTTGTGAAAAAGGGGAGTGAATGGGTTTCACTTTTGTGCAAACATCCTTGCGCAATTTTCCTGACTCTCCATCCAGTGCTAGTCATGATCAAATAGCACTCAAAGCAGGGGGCTATTTGCTGACTTCCCTGACAGAAGTTCTGTATCTGGTGGCATGGCAAGAAACAGAGGCACCATGGACCGAATGACTCATGGAAAGCGAAATTCCCTGTCACCAGCAGAGAGGCTCCTGCCATGCCAGCGTTCACCACTATTGCTCCGAGAGACGCAGACGGGAATACTCTGTGCTCTGGCTCTCCGTTTCCCACCCTGCCGGTGGAAGCAGCTGAGTAGGCAGCAAGAATCCGTGATGGGAGAACCCGGGGGGTACCCGTTAGGCAGCTGTCTGGCTGCGTTGGGTGCAAAAGCAACACAAAACAGCCTAAGTTTGGATCAAGAAACTCGACACTCAAGTAGGTAACACCACCCCCCGGAATGGAGCCAGCTATACCAGCAGGAAAGGGGGTTGTACCAGAGTCTTCCCCCTCCACCACAACCTCCCGGTGGCATTCTGTCTCTGCAGCGAGGGGGGGGGGGAATCATTTAATGGGGGAACACTCCAAGAACTTGGTAAATGGTCAAGGGCCGCACTTTTCTAGGCTATTAATGGAGCGGGTACAGGATCTAGAATGGAAGTTGGGTACAGGAGGGAGCTCTGGGTAGTGGATTGGGGTGCAGGGCCTGGGGGGGTGTGCAGAAGAGGATTGGCTTGGAGGAGGAGTGTGGGAGGGGCTGCAGGGATTGGCAGGGAGATGTGACCGGGGCAGGGGTGTGGGAGGGGGTGCAGAAGGTTTGGGTTGTGACCTGAGGCAGGGAGTTGGGGAGAGAGTGGGGATGGGGTGCCAGGTGCAGGCTCCTGATGGGAGGCGCCTACCAAGTGGGACACACAGGCAGGGTCCCTGCAAGCCCCGGCCACATGCTTCACCTGCTCATGTTGGGTCTTCAAGATGGAAATTTCCTTCTCCACTTCGCAGATGTGGCTGGTGGCCTTGGCAACCTCCGCTCTCTCCAGATCTCGCTCTGCCAGCAGCTGCTCGATGTGCTGCTGCTTTTCCTTCAGGGCCTCCTGCAGGGCGGTGGTGCCGGAGATCTTCCGGGCATAGCGCGAGGACGTCTCCGTCAGCTGGAGAAGAGAGCAAAGACGGGGGTCTGTAGCTCTGCTCCCCCCACCCCTGCCCAGGCAGACAGCTTTCACCAGCCAGCCCGAGTGTCTGTGCACACAGTGCCCCTTTGGAACTGGAGGGCAGCGCAATCCATCAAACCACTAGCCCCCAGACCCTGTGCTGGTGCTGGGAGCGCAGGGCTAAGCTGGAAGGGGTGAGGCTCCCAGTCAGAATGAGATCGCAGATCAACACCCTGCAGACGGGCAGCTCTTCTGGGCAGCGCTGGGAAGGGAGTTCTCCAGGGACAAGGTTAAGGGGCAGGGAAGATCACACTTTGAGAGGGGACTAAGGTGGGATAGGATAGAGATCTATAAAATCTTGACTGGCGTGGAAAACGTGAACAAGGAAAAGTTATTTACTTGTTCCCATAACCTAAGAACAAGTCACCAAATGAAATGAATAGGCAGCAGGTTTAAAACAAACAAAAGGAAGTTTTTCTTCATGCAGAGCACAGAACCTGTGGAACTCCTCGCAGGAGGAGGTTATGAAAACCATGACTTTAACCGGGTTCAAAATAGAACTAGATAAATTCATGGAGGTTAGGACCCTCAATGGCTGTTAGCCAGGATGGGTAGGAATGGTGTCCCTAGCCTCTGTCTGTCAGGGGCTGGAAATGGGTGACAGGGAAGGGATCACGTGATGATTTCCTGTTGTGTTCCCTCCCTCTGGGGCACCTGGCATTGGCCACTGTCGGCAGACAGGATACTGGGCTAGATGGACCTTTGGTCTGACCCAGTGTGGCCGTTCTTATGACCTTTTGAAGACCTGCTTTCTCTTCACACATAGGCTTTATTTAGGACAGCCACTGAAAAAAGCCCAGGCGATAAGAACTCAGCTGCCAGGGCCATCGCTGCCTGCGAAAGCTGGATCCACGGCCCAGGGTGACACTTGTTTGTGCCTCGCTGAGAGTGGTCAACATTGATCTCCTGTATGTCCTAGCACTGGAGCGTTTCGGAAGGCTATTTTGCATTCCCACGGGGCCAGCCTTCTTAGGAACCCCCAAGCACGACACACGCCATTCAGAGGAATTCCTTCCCCCCACAACAAACTGCAGCCACCTCTGAAGCGGGAAGGAAGCAGCTGTTGTGTGCTACAGGGCATTGCTTTTGCAACCAGGTGGGACAGAAAATGAAACACTGTCCCAGTCTAGATGGCATTTGCGGGAGGCAGAGTATAATTCTCCATTGTGGGTTGTGGACATGTCCCTGCTGGTGCCCTTCCCCCCGCAAACAGCGTCCCGGGATCTTACGTGACCACAAATGCTCAGGGAGTCCGAGCTCCCTCCAAGGGGAGGAAAGCGAAGACCAATCATAGTCTCCCCCGCGCTTCCCATTTCCCTGCTGGCAGGGCAGTCGGAGCAACCCCAGGGCGCCTGCTGAAGGCTCAGTTCTGCCAGGTCAGAGAAGGATTGCTCTCGGTCCGAGAAGAGGTTCTCACCAATCCGCTCCGGCTGGGTCTGCCGCCGACGGAGGACGCCACGGAGCTGACCGAGCTGATGGAGGAGCTACTGGGGCTGTGAGTTAAGGCGGACACCCCCATGGCCATCCGCTTGCTCTTCTTGGCTTTAGCAGGACTGGTGGACGGGAACCCAATCCGGATCACCTTGTGAATGGGAGCGAAGAGGCCAAATTTGGGGGGGCACTGAAAGTACCTGGAGCAGGAGAGAGAGAGAATATCAGAAAGGCGATTGCCCCCGCCTAGAAAGCCCTCCACACTGGGCAGCATCCAGACAGAACTGGAGTAGGGATGTCGACGTGTAGCCGACGACACGAATAACCGATAAGTCTGGACTTCAGTTAGTCTTGTGGACTACACGCACTCCCCCACCTTGCTGCCTCGGTATCAGAGGCAGCAAGGGGGGGGGGAGCCGGTGCCTATGAGGAGCTGGCTTTAAGCAGGCGCCTCACGAGCACGGGATGTGCCTCCCCCTCCATCCCTATGCTGCTGCCACAGATAAAGAGGCAGCAGCGCGGAGGGTGAGGGGGGCAGGCTGGAGCCAATACGTGCCGGGAGCCAGCTTTTAAGCCAGCGTTCTGCAGATTCACCCGCCCTCCTCCCTCACTTGATGCTTCCTACAAAGGAAGCAAGTTGGGGAGGTAGGAGCCGGTTCCCCCCAGCACCAGCTCTGCAGTGCCGCCTGCTCCTTCCAGTTCTGCTGCCTCCCCGCGGCAGCAATGGGAAGTGGGGGCAGGCGAGTCCTGTCCACGAGGGGTACGAGCTCCCTGAGGACAGAGGCTGCTGCCACAGACTGGCCTCTGACTACAGGGAGCTCAGACTCCATGGATAGGGGCTGCTACCACCCCGCACTGCAGTCTCTGTATCAGAGGTTTTTCAACTAGCTCCCTCGGCAGACCAGCTCCCACCTGCCATCCCACAGAGGCAGCAGCGCGGGGTAGCAGGGGCTCCCTGGGAATGGGGCCCGGAGCGCCTCCAGGAACTCTCGAATAGTTGTGTAACCAATAAGATTGAATGTGGTTACACGCCTATTCAATTACACTATATCCAACATCCCTAGCTGGGAGTCCAACCAAGAATTCCCAAGTTCTGGGAAATAGTCTACAGCCCGTGGCACAGGAAGTCAGATCAGACGATCACAGAAAAGAGATAATGAATCGAGCATCACAGAAGATTTAACAGCGTCCTCACGAACCCTGTCGCCCGATGATGTGGCAGAACAGGCTACAGCATTCCCTTTTCGGGTGTTTTGGAGGAGGCGGTTAAGGGCACAGTCCCTAGGAGGACAGGCCCAAAATAGAGGCTTGCTAAAATAAAATAAACATGTTCACAGGAGCAAACGCAACCCAAAGCAAAACACACCCCCTTTTGCAGTGACACCCATACTGTATAATGTCACATTTTTAAAGTCAATGAAAGGAGGATGGGGTTTTTGGTTTTAAACATTCCTCCTGGAGTGTTTTTACCCTTGATGCTGCTTTAGAATCAGTGATGAGTGTAGCTCAAACAGGAATTATTCTGGGGAAAGTTATGGCCTGTGTTAGGCAGGAGGTGAAACTTGAATGATCGCATCAGACCACTGAAGGGTATGAATGGTCTGGTTTAGAAGGGCATGGATCTACAATATTGGCCAGTCAGATTTCATTGTGCACACTGTGGGCATGTCTAAACTACATCCCTCTTCCGAAAGAGGGATGTAAATTAGACAGATCGAAACTGAAAATGAAGCTGGGATTTGAATTTCCCACACTTCATTTGCCTAACGGTGGCCATAAATTCTTTCAAAAAAGGGCTTTTCTAAAGTGAAACTGCTGTCTAGATGCGGTTCTTAAAAAAAAATTTTTTTTTGAAAGATCCTGTACTCCTCATTTGCATATTTTTTGAGGAGTACAGGATCTTTCGAAAAAGCGTTTTTTCCCCTCAAAAAAACCACGTCTAGACGGCGGTTTCACTTTAGAAAAGCCCTTTTTAGAAAGAACACGCAGCCGCCATTATGCAAATGAAGTGCGGGAAATTCAAATCCCAGCTTCATTTCCAATTTCTATCTGTCTAATTTACACCCCTCTTTTGAAAGAGGGATGTAGTTTAGACATACCCTGAACAAGCGAGGGGGAAAAAAAAGAGCAGGTATCACAATGGATGGGAACCACAGTTGGGCGCCAATTCTCATTTACACTGCGGCCCCTTTACACCACTTTGAAAGTACAAAGGAGCCGTAAGGTAAGCAAATCACATGCACACCCGTGTTAAGGTCCCTTTGCACTTCCCGAGCACGGAAAGGAGCCCTAGTGCGAATGAGAACAGGCCCTTGAAGGTTATCCTCCTCTCCAAGCAATACAGGTTTTGTTAGTCACACGGGAATGGGGAAAGCGTTTTGGTTTTGCTACAGGGTTTTGAACCAAATAATCTGTCCTTAAGAAAAAGGGAGGGAAGGTGAGTGCTGGGGATGTGGTTATCTTGGGCTGGTGTGAGTGACACCAAGCACAGCTCTGTTTTCAGCACTGTTAGGCGATGACAGGTGTTTGCCAGATGGGGAGGCAGAAGAAGAGGCTGAGGGAAGACATGGGCTTTTTTTAAAGACTGAGATAGAGGTGACCTTCCTCCAGTACATACCCTGCAGCAGAGTGAGTGGTGTAGGAGCCCAGATGCTTGTGTCAAAAAAACAAAAACCAAACAACCCTCTACCCACGTTGTCTTCAGGGAAAGGCAACCCAGAGCAGAGAACTACTCGCGTTCAGGTCACAGCAAAATGGGAGCATATTGAGCTGGGTTTGCGAAATAATGTCCTTGCCCCTGCTTCAAACTTAACCCAACTCTTGCCCACTGTGATCACTGCACAAAGCAACCCAAAGCAACCTGCACGGTCAGCCCCGGTCCGTGTGGGTCAGTAAGGGGGTGTCTACACTGCACCGCAGGTCAAAACGAGCTACGCAATTTGAGCTACGCAAATGGTGTATCTTCGTTCAATCTTATTTCAAAACAGCTTATTTCATCACTTGCCGCAGTCTACACCGTGCCAGCTTTGAAATAACCTGCTATTCTGAAACGTCCCTTACGCCTCGTGGAATGAGGTTTGCAGAGACGTCGGAATAGCGCACTCGAAATAATGGGCTTGCTGTGAAGACGAGGGATCGCTATTTTGGATACAGCGGCGGTCAAAAAAAGCAAACAGAATGTTCGGAGTCATTAAAAAAGGGATAGAGAATAAGACAGAGACTATCTTATTGCCTCTATATAAAACCATAGTAAATCCACATCTTGAATAATGGGTACAAATGTGGTTGTCTCATCTCAAAAAAGACATATTGGCATTGGAAAAGGTTCAGAAAAGGGCAACAAAAATGATTAGGGGTTTGGAACGACTGCCATATGGAGAGAGATTTAAAAAACTTGGACTTTTCAGCTTAGAAAAAAAGAGGAGACTAAGGGGGAATACGATAGATGTCTATAAAATCATGACTGGTGTGGAAAAAGTGAATAAGGAAAAGTTATTTACTTGTTCCCACAATATAAGAACTAGGGGTCACCAAATGAAATGAATAGGCAGCAGGTTTAAAACAAACAAAAGGAAGTTTTTCTTCACGTAGTGCACAGTCAACCTGTGGAACTCCTTGCCAGAGGATGCGGTGAAGGCTAGGACTTTAACAGGGTTCAAAAAAGAGCTAGATACATTCATGGAGGTTAGGTCCATCAATGGCTATTAGCCAGGATGGCTTGGAATGGTGTCCCTAGCCTCTGTTTGTCTGGAAATGGGTGACAGGGGAGGGATCACGTGAGGATTACCTGTTGTGTCCCCTCCCTCTGGGGCATCGGCCACTGTCAGCAGACAGGACCCTGGGCTACATGGACCATTGGTCTGACCCAGTCCGGCCTAACGGGCACAGTGAGCTGATCCGGGCGGGCTCATGGCATAAATGACCACGGACAGCAGAGTTTCAGAAGGGCTCTGCAGTCAGCGAGTATCCCAATAGCTGTAGGTAACCATGTACGACCTCTGGCCTGTAACAACTCCAGCCAACAAACTCTCTCGTGGGACTGTCCACACGTCTCCCAAGTCTACACGACAGGGTTGCCAACAGTCAGTCAATTTACAGACAGTCCGTAAAAAATTAGCCGAAATTGGACACGCCCGTAAAGTCTGTAAAAAAAATTTAGGTATCTGTATATTTCGTAAAAGCGCAATCAAATAAAAAAAAAACCCAGCAATTATTCTATAGCAGTTAAATGTCTTCTGTGCTGCTTCAGCCATTTTACTGTGGAGCTGCAGAAATTGGACATTTTAGTTGTTCGTTTAGCTCAATGGTTGAGGTGCCATAACATGAATCACGTGATCCATGTGATGTGATCATCTACATCATCCCGCTGAGTCAGCGTCCGTGTCTGTCCGTACGTTGTCCCCTTTTTGTCCATAAATGACATTTCTGTGGGACCCTGCCGCACGAGTAAAATACCCAGGAGCCCAACCCAGAAGCCAGCTGAAGCCAATGGGAATCTTCCCCTAATCTTCAACAGGCTTTCGATCCGTACCAAGCGCAGAGCCCAGGGGCACGGGCAGCCCCATCTCGTCCCTGTGATGCTCCCTCAGGTACGCAGGAGACGCCCGCGATTCACTGGTGAGCCGTTTGGATGCAGAGGCCTGTGCAGTGTGATGAGCAGGGGGATCCTAGGCGGCGTGGCTGCCGATTGGATCCATGCCAAAACGCCACGTGCATAAACCCCAGGAGAGCACGTGCAACCCCTCCTTGCGCCAGCGAACTAAAACTCCTCCAGGTGCTTTGTGGCCCGGGTCAGAGGGAGCCAGCATGGCAGAGGTACAGCCCGTGGGAGGGACAGATCAGACACACAATCTGTGAGCTCTGCAACAAGGTGACTCCTGCTCCCAAGGAGAGAGGGAGATCTCCCAAATGCAGGGAAGTGAAACCAACCCGCTAGCTGCCAGCAACAGGGCATGCTAGTGCTTTAAAAGGAGAGGAGGCCAAAAGACTCCGTCCCAGGGAGCTGGAATGAACTAAGGCCAGACAGAGGAAAAGAGGGAGCTGTAGGTCAGAAATGGATGGGCTGAATGTCTGAGGACACTGTTCCTGTACAGCCCTGAGCTAAGCACCAACCTTCGGAGGCCTGGGATGGGCGTGGCTGAAGGGAATAGAGCTGCTTTTGCGCCCGCAAACAAGTGATCAGAAAGGCTGTGGGGGTCTCAGTAGGGGGCCCTGAAGAGGAAGAAGGGGAGGGAGCCTGCTGCTACCGAATTTTGGCCAGAGAGGACAGCCTTCTAGCTCTGGGCACCACATTTCAGGAGAGATGTGGAGAAGTTGGAGAAGGTCTCCAGAGAAGACCAACAAAAATGATTAAAAGTCTGGAAAACATGAGCTAGGAGAGAAGAGTGAAAGATTTGGGCTTGTTTAAGTTTAGACAAGAGAAGATTGAGAGGGAACATGAGAGCAGTTTTCAAGTACCTAAAAGAGTGTTACAAGGAGGAGGGAGAAAAATCGTTCGCCTTGGCCTCTGAGGATAGGATGAGAAGCAATGGGCTTAAACTGCAGCAAGGGAGGTTTAGGTAGGACATTAGGAAAAACTTCCTGTCAGGGTGGTTAGACACTGGAATAAGTTGTCTAGGGAGGTTGTGGAATCTCCATCTCTGGAGCTATTTAAGAGCAGGTTGGACAGACGCCTGTCAGGGATGATCTAGACAGGGCCTGGTGCTGCCGGGAGGGCAGGGGACTAGACCTGATGACCTTTCGAGGTCCCTTCCTGTTCTATGATTCCACTTTCCAATTGAAACACCAACACAGAAAACTCCATGCAGAAAGGGCTGTGCCTGTCTCTTCACCGCCTCTCCGGGTGGGCTACTGAAGGCACGGAAGACAGAACAAGGAGACGAGAGAGGAAAAGACAAGACAAGACAATTCTGATGCAGACAGATGAAGAAGGCAAAACAGCACAAGAGAGGAGACGGGGGAAGGGCACGTTCAGGTGCAATCCCGTTTCGGCAGTTAGTGCCGGTCCGCACGCGGGACATGGACTCATCCCGCTGCCCGTGAGAGATTAAGGCAAGTCTCACCTGGGGGGCCAGCTGCCGGAAACCCACATTGCCAGAAACTCAGGGCCTCTTTGGCACACAGGTCAAGCTGTTCCATCTGAGATGCCTCAGCAAGTAACACCAGGCAGCCTCTGCGTGTCACACCCTTTGGTTTCACCGCAGCAGCCAGGGCAGACAAAACTGTCTGGTTTGGGAGCCATCTCCAGAAGCTGGAAATGAACCACTGGCAGGAAACGATGGAGCAAAATCTCTCCCGCGTGTGGCTGAAATAGTGACTAATTAATAACGATCAACAATTCAGACACAAGCCCAATAGGGACGCTAATATTAGCCAAGCACTAGTTTCCTGGCACACGTCGGCAGGCTCCAGATGTGAGCAGCTGTTCCAAGATCGCTTTCCATGTGTGAAACGGCTTGCACACGTGGGCAGCAGCGTGTGTGTCGGTCACGGGCTGATGCCATGTACATGGGAGGCCGCAGAACAGCCTGTTCTCTATCCAGAGGAGAAAATGATTCATTTGCAAGCATCTGTTCAAGTCCTATCTTTTCAAAAATGAAAACCCCAAGCCCCACTCCTCTCCCCTTCTGTTGCTGCCAGGCAGGCCCCGGATCTTGGAACAGATCACTGCTTAGGGCTGATCTCATTGTGGCAAGGAGGAAAATCAACGTGGCTTCTGCAAAAGCGCCAAAACCTCTTGCTGTTACAATAAGCTACTAGGCGTGGGAAGGCTGGTAATTGGACACAGGGCCACCATCACTAATGGGCTAGCTTGGTTTGGGTCCAGACTGGGAATGAGTGCAAATCACTGTTAAAGGATGTCTGATGTGTAGTAGGGATGTAAGCGACTAGCTGAGTAGTTGACTACCCGGTAAGCCTAGGCTTCTTGAGTAGTCGAGTTGCTATTCGACCAAGGCCAGATTAAGGGGGGGGCTAGCTAGGGGGGTGCCCGATTGCAGCTGTAAGGTGCACAGAGCACTGGGGGGGGGGCGGGAATGGCTCGAGCCGGCCCTGTATTCGATTAGTTGCTCCCCCCCACTTGCTGCCTTTATATCAGCCACCCCGCTGCCCCACCACGAGGCTAGAGCACACAAAATTTACTAGCCTGGGCCCCCCTAAGCTCTGGTGTATGGGGGGGGACGGGACGTGGGGAGTGTTTTTCCCCTCAGTCAGGGGCCACATCAATGAGGGTTTGTCGTCTTTTTCTTTCTTTGCTTCTCACTTGTGTGCGGCCCCCGACTGACTCTTCTGTGGATCAGCAGCCCCCCGACCCACAAAAGGTTCCCTACCCCAGTTTACTGCAATGCTTTCATGCTAGCGTGGGACAATACAAAGCCGTTCCTATTGCAAATAGAAGCTCATGGCCAGCAGGCACCAGGCTGGCAGAAAATGAATGACGCTGCAGCAGCAATTGGGGCCTACTGAGTAATTGTCAGTTCCATGCTACTGTCAAAGTTACCCTCTGGCCTCCACCATAGCTGGGTTTCCCGAGGAAGGCCTGAAGCAGTAATAACGTTTGATAATATTGTTGCTCGCCCTAGTGCCTTATTTACTACCCTGAGTCAAACTGCCTCTGGCCACTTCTTTACAGCCCTAAATACAGCATGCAGAGCTGCGCAAAGATTTATAGGATTTTGCAGAGCATCTGAAAAATTGGAGTGAACACCAGGCATCGAGGAACCATTTCAGACCCCATGAGAACCCGCCCAACCGTTGATCCAAGCCCAACCGTGATCAGGTTTAAAAGGCCCGAGAACTTTCCCTGTCATTATTCCCATTTGTGGGCCTGCAAAGCATCTGGAGAGTCCGTTCCTATCCTATTTCCGCAAAAGTCAGGCATGAGCTGCAGAACTCGGACCCAAATTTCCCCGAAACTCAGGATAACTTGAGATCTGAGCTTTAGGGTCACAGTTTGCAGCATGAAGTCTCGTCAGCCCTCCTGTCCAGTTTCACAGACCCAGATGCTGGAGATCATTTGGAAGAACATTCTGCCTTTTTGGTGTTCACCCAATGCCAACCTGACCCTTCCGACTTTCACAGCTTTGCACTTCACTGGCAGGCATGTGTGTGCTAAGAGCTACACTGCTGGAGAAGACACGGATGAGAATCAGGGGTTGTAAGTTCAGACTGCAAACAGATGTCACGCTTAAGTAGCACTACAAGCCTGGAGCAAGAACTTCATTAATTGTTTGTTCCGGGCTCATTAAAAGCCTCACCTCCAGAAAAAAAGAGATGGCCCACAGGGTGAGATGATCTTACGTCCTTGCTATGTAGACAGAGGAAAAGGTGAATTATATATAGACTAAGGAGAGGGAAGGATTTACCAAGGAAACATAATGGCAAGTGATCTTAATATAGCCACAGAATCACAGAAAGCAAAGTGGAGAAAAAAAATCCAACAACTCATCTCTTCTTTAAAATAAACTTCTCTACAAACTTTTACAAAGTTTCAAAATACACCAATGATGGGACTTCCACCACTTCCCTGGAGAAACTGCTTCCCAGTCTAAAGCCCTCGCCGTCGGAATATTTCCCCCCACAGCCCTTCCCAAATATACAGCCTAGATCTCCCTTTGTAAGTTCTAGCTCTGCCTCCTTTGACCCCCCTAAGCAGCTGGTTTTGGCCCTCTACATTCCATTGGTAGGCGTTGGGCGCCCTTTCAGAGTCCCGGCTGGAGCCGGGGAGCGTACACAGTACCTTGTACCAGCGACTGCTCCATCGTTCTTCCCTAGAGGTTCATCGAGTTCCACTCCACACCATTCTCCTTTGGCAAAGTCGGTCTCTCCCACATAGCGCACAACTCCCGTTTTCGTCCCGCCAACCTGTTGGGTATCAAAACCCTGGAGGTTAGAAGCAGAAGCACCAGCACTAAAAATGAGGACAGAGAGGTTGAGGAGACTGGGAGGTTAAGGAATGGGCTGCACCAGAAAAAGAGTTTGCCTCATAGCCCTTCTCTGTCAGTTATAATACGACTCCAGGTCTGACTCTCTCCATTCCGGGCATCCTGCAGCAATGAAGGAGTTCTTCCAAGAACTCAGGACCGAAAGAGATTTTCCTACTCCCCATTGCCTGGGGATATGATGTTAAGTCCGAAATAATCAAACCTCATCTTTCAGGCTGTCGGCTAATTGTGGTAGACATCACAAAGGGACTTTCCACCCTCATACACAACTGTCTGCCTGATCACAGGGGGTTGGGTTTGGTTTTTGGCCTCTCACTGAAATGGCAACAACAGAGGCAGGGTGCCATACATAACAAACGATTGGTCCACTCCAGCACAACACGCATTTTATTCTTAGGCCTTGCCTATATTTCCAAATAGGGACGTAATCGTGTTGTTGATGAACCAATTAACTGATAAGCAGAAGCTTGTACACCCTTGACAGTGCATTTTTTAGCATTTTTCAGTTCTGGCTCACACCAGGTCCAGAACCTACCCCTGCTGCGGCTCTGCACTTAAAGTGTATTAGGAGCCAGGCAGGCAGGAAGCCCGGCTCCATTCCAGCTCACTCCGCATCCAGGAGCTCAGACCCCTCTTAGACAGCAGCTACTGCCACCTGCGCTGCTGCCTCTTTATCAGAGGCAGCAGCACTGGGTGACAGGAGCTGGTCCACAAGGGGAGCTGGTTTTTAAACTGGCTCCCCTTATGGACCAGCTTCCGCCTGGCACCCCATGCTGCTGCCTTTGATACAGAGGCAGCAGCACAGAGTAACAAGGGAGCTCTTTAGGAGTGGGGCCGGAGTGCATTGGCAGCTATATGAGGTTGCTCGACTATTCAGTTAACCGATATTTAACATCCCTACTTCAAAGGTTTAACTTTTGGCTGTACCATCAAACCCTCCTAGTGGAGATACAGTTTATACTGGTAGAGAAGTCCTACTGTCGACATAATGTATACGAGTTCCCTGAATGAAAACAATCCTAGAAAAAGCACTTTTTTGCCAGTATAACTATACCTACATTAGGGCTTTTGCTATTTCAGCTACATCGATAAAATAACCCTACCCCCTAACTGATACAGCTATTCCTGCAAAGTTTTAGACCATGCCTTCAGAAAAAAACCACCACCAGAAAATAAAAGATGTACAATTACCCACTTGCATAGCCCACAGGGTTGCCAACTTTGACTGAAGCTATGCTGGGCTCTGCTCGCCAAATGTAATGTCATTTCTTTGAACTGGCCTATTAAAATCCCCAGGATCACTGTCACCAAGAGACTGATGCTGATTCTGGGGGACTCCAGACAAGTGGCAGACAGGCCAGGGCCCCAGGGCTACGTGCAGCCCACAAGCCATTTGGGGGTCATATGTGCAGGCCATGAAACATTTTGTTTATCGTTGCTCACACGCAGGGTTGCCAGATTCCACTGGTTTCTGTCCATGTTTTTTCCTACCAATAATACTGACACACATGAAGCAAGGGCACATGAGGTGCGTGCTGACTGCATACAACATCATGAGAGTTGTGCGCCCCCACTGCATCCAGTCAAACCGCTGATACCTGTTCCATATCAGGCATTGGCTAGCAGGGCTGCCAATCTTCCAGAGTAGCAATAGGCAATTTAAGCTAGTGAGTGGGCCATACGAGAGGTCATAACCAAGATAGTCTCAGGACAGGATAGTTTTGCTAACTGCATTCGCACCCCTAGAATTTGCAAGGAACATCGATGGAACCTCCCGCAGCGGGGCCACCCCAGAAATTTGGCTTCAGGTACATCGACTCCGCCTATGCAATTCTCATAGCTGAAGTTGCGTATCTGACATTTCTCCCACAGTGTAGACTTGGCCTTACTATTGGTATCAGACATACTGGTAGAACTGTATCTACATAAGGCTATTTACTGGTATAGCGATGTATATAAAAACATTAATTCCCCTAACAAAAAAAAAAATCACAATTGGTAGCATTTTTGCCTACACTTACCAGTGACAACAAGATGGAGTTTTCCCCTAAAATAATTTCAAGTCTTTTTTTAAGATATGCTGAAGTATTCCAAACAGCATGTCACCATAATTCAGGATTATTTTACCCCCCAAGCAAGCAGACACACAAACAGGGCTGCCAATTTTGGTTGGACATATTCCTGGAGGTTTCATCCCATGACAATTTTTAGTTAAAGATGAATCTTTAATTCCTGGAGACGCCAGGGCAATCCTGGAGGGTTGGCAACTCTACTGTCCCGTGACATGTCCCGTGACATGCCCCCAAAAGAACTGGGGAACCCATGAGTGGTCAAGACAGCATTGGCAGGACAGCATTAGAGCCAACTGTTGAACTTCCCAGCCCCTGGCAGGCGTACAGGAATGCATGTATGGGGAACTCAGAAACTCCATCAGATTCAGACATGCAGACTTATTCAACCCTGATAATCTGTTCATGCTGCTAAATCAAGCCTTTTTTAAAAAGCTGCCTGGCAGGTTGCATCAGTTTATGGGCTGAACGGTTCAATCAAAACGTAGGTATTCATTTCCATTTCAAGCACTCAAACGACCTCGCCGCGTCACCACCTTGGACTGACGGGAAAAACCAAGGCAGCAGCAATTGTATGGAGGCAGCAAGAGAGACCTGGTGACAAGGCAAGACAGAAGTACACTGGACTCCTGGTTTTTTTCCCCCAACTGTGCTATTGGCTTGTCCTGTATTCACAGGCAAACTTCAGGGAGTCTTAATTTCCTCTTACACGTTTGCGTTTATAAAGTGCTCCCCAATCTAGGTAGCAAAGAGCTAAGTGCGAGCCAGCCACTTTGGCCACTCTCGGCAGACTAATGACTGGAGGACAGGCAGGCTGCTGTTGTACGAGCTGTTGCCAAGGGGACTAGAGGCATGAAACCTAAGGAAACCATATTTGCAATTTCCCTCCTGAGCTGCACTTTCTGTCTCTAAAGCACATTTTTATTCCTCTCTAACACCTCTCCACCACGGGACTCGCTCGAGGCATGCAACTTCACAGAGCTGATGAAATGTGCTGAATTAATCACACTGGGGAATGAATCTGTTGAATTGTGAAGTAGCTTCACTACCCCATACTGACCCCTATTTCAACATGTCTGTTCTAAGAAGTGGGCTATGCCCACAAAACTCATGATACCATCTACACATTGTGTTAGTCTTTTAAGAGCTACTAGACTATTTGTTGTTAAAGTTTTTCCTGTTACAGACAACTCGGCTACCCCTCTGAAGCTTCTAAAAGGAGGAGACATTTCACGCCTCAGACACTAAATTAGTGTAATTTGTAACCAGAAATATGACGTCCACACAGAGTCACGAAGGGACAGGGCTACCTGAGTTGAATGGGATTTGAACTCACAACCTAGAATTGAAAGGCTGCGTAGCAGCATTGCCAATCCGGTGTAATGTCCTGTTTTCCCCTGCTAGCTTAAGTCAGGGTTACTCTAAAGCAGTACAGACAAAGCTAACACTACTACCCACCCCAGGATAGGGACTGTGCTCATAGAATAAGTGTTGCATACAGCTTGCTGAAAATTTAAAATATAAAGCAACCCCCCTCTCCATTAATTATGGCTTTTTTAGAAAAGGAAAAAATTCCTACCAAAACAAAACATGTTATTTATACCAAGTCAGGTGGCATCTGAAAGTCGAGTACTCACTAGAGCGCCCCATGCAAAACAGTAGGGGAGTGAGTGTCAAAGGGATGCCCCGGTGCAGAAATACAGGACAAAAAAAGTTAATTTCCCCCAATTAAGCTATAAAGGTTCTACCAAAACTTCAGAGCCGGGAGTCTACTTTTATCACATCAGTGCAGCTGGATTTGCAGTCAAATACAAGTTCCATTAATGCAGCCAATGCAAGAAGCACCTGCACACAACTCCTGAGCAACAATGAGAAAATGATCCGTTTAGGGTCCAATGCAAGAGGAAACCCTAGCATTACAGCTTCTCTGTAGGAGGCTGTCTCTGTTACAAAGGCTGTCCATGCTAATAACAGCCCTCCATTCAGAAGGCCACTTACAACGCCTCTTTAATGATACATATTTCAAGCAGAACACTGGTATTTGCCAGCACGCAGGCTAAGTGAATGCTTATGAGGACATGCATGCACTCAAAGACGGCCTCCAAAGCGTTGATGTGACATAAGGGGAGGAGGGTTGGTTTGTGCTTTTTCTTTCCACTACAGGGATGGCTAATACTTGTTTGTGTGACGACAGCAACAATGCACACTTGGGATCACAGAAGGACAACTAAACTAACAGACCTAAGGGGTAAGGTGTACCTGCCTCCCATGTCTGGTATTTTGTCAATTACCATAACTCCCCTTCATATAACGCTCAATATCCAAAGCCTCTGCCTTGTGATCCAGGGACCTCCACAACCCAGCCAAGGCTAAGAGATGCTTTGTTTTGGGGCTGCACAACATACAGGCTTCAGACCACGAGTTCTGCAGCAACCTGGGCCTTGTCCACAGATGACAGACCAGTCAATTGTAAGTCTCTCTCACTCAGTGGTAAATGCCTATGGTTCCCACAGCAATCAGGCACAGAAGATCACTTGCCAGACAACAACTGATGGTGTTAATCTGACCACTATAGAGTTAAAAGCTCTGAGTCCAACTTGTTATTGTTCAGGCGCTTTTTATGCTATTGTAGGCACCACAGAATGGCACAGGTACTGTGCAGTCAACTCTGGCAGCTATGTATCTATCAGCTCCGTCCTCTCTCAAAGTCCCCTCGGCGGACGAACTTCACTAGGTCACTCACTGAGAGCCTCCTCTACCACCTCTCTTGGAAATATGGAGCAGGAGCATGGCCTGAAAGAGGCAAACTACCCATGGAGCATTTGACGGGAGGGAAGTGGTTACAAAAGGG